TTCTCCCTGCGATCTCTCTGCAATTCTCGCCGCCTCTCGACGTCGTTCCGCGGGAATGTTGTTTTTTTTCTTTATCGCGAATTATGCTAATTACCGGAGCCTTCGGTGTTGGGGAAGGGCGAGTGGTGCTGGTTTTGGCGTGATGCAGGTTGTTGTCGACGTAGGTAGGCAAAAGAAGAATAATCGGGGCGTTAATTTGTCTCGGTGCAAGAGCGGGAGAAAAGGCAACCGACGACGACGACGACGACGACGACCTCCGGTACAAGGTGGAAACGAGCCACTGCTGAACGAATAGAGGGTGGGAGGAATCGATTTATCCGGAAGAGAGTCCTAAAGCTCTTGATGGTCCTTTGTCATTCTATTGGTTCTGCAGGGTACAAATTGGGAAATGGTGAATCTTACCGATAAGTCGTCAAGCAACCTGGTGATTTGCATAGAATATTGCGCGGTTATTTCGATCTCTACCTCAGATAATGCGTTTGATGCCAATTCTAGCGAACCGTGTTGAAATTTCATTAAATTTGTATTTACGTGAAATATAACGAAAATTGATGTAAACGAAGAATTAATGTCTGACGTGAAATATAGTTTGGCAGGATACATCAATCCGTACTAGCAATATTTCTGAATTATATTATACCGTCACTTTTAATTAGATTTATTGGATAAATGATTTTATTATTATTAACGATTTTAAATGAGAAAAACTTTGTTGTAATTACCTTTAAAGTAATTATCTTTACATAGAAATGTATAATTTTGAAAAGATTGAAGAAAGTAGTTACAAAAAATATTTCTATGTTATAGTTACCCTCTAATTGAGCTCTGATTAATTCTTAATAATGAGCAATGATATTTTGCTTCAGCGAAACCAAAAAAATAAGCGAAATCCTATTAAAGTACAAGAATAGGCAGGGAAAGGATAACGATCATTTCGCGAGTTGAAATTACAGAGTTGACTGAAAAACTCATAAAGGTACCCCCGGTAACGCGCCGAAAATGGCTAATGACGTTGCTTGCAACAATGGCAAGAAGAACTTGCGGTAATCTTCAATTCCATTAAATCTCGGCGCGGTGGACACCGCACGGAGATGACGACGAGCAGATGACAAAAGGTGTTCACCTTTTGCCGATTTATGAAAGCGCGCGTACATACATTCTTCCACCTGGACCGGTTTCAAGGCGCTTTTTCTAGTGGTTCTTCTCCACCACCGTTAAAAAAAAGGGACAAGGGTGTCGCAGGCTGTGGCTCTCTCTTCTCGGATTCACTTACTTAGATGCGGACATACTTCCAGGATGCGTTCCCATTCTTCATTCGTTCTCTCTTGAATGAGGAAAGGAGAAGAAGCAAAAGGATTTTTCTTTCTTACTCGACGTATATATACATGTCTGTACCACCTTCGAGGTTGTAGCTTTTTTTTCTACATGCTCTTGGCGGACGAGAAATAGTAGGCAGGAAGGGTAGTTATCCGGCACTTTTCTTGTTTTATAAAAAACGATTTTTCTAAAGTACCTAAAAATCTAGCTAGGTATAAAAATCTGAAAATAAAATTAAGATAAAATAAAAAATAAAAAATTATTTTCAGATCTGTATCTAGTTAAATTTGTAAATACTTAAGCAAAATTGTCCTTTTTGTATAGTTACTTTCAAGTGGACTTTTGGACTTTTTTTTTATTAAAGTCTCGTCTACAAATCTCACCTACAGTTGTTTTTGTGTTACTTCCCGGTTATTCGGTTAATTTGCGTTTTGATTAAAATCCTGCAGACCTTAGTTATAACGAGAGAGATAATTGAAGAGAAGATTAAGCACAAAGATGCATAACTATTAAGAGATATTCCGTAGAAATATAACAACGGAGATATTTCAAACTTCGGGCCTGATATTTGACTTCTCTGTTGAGTTTAAGTAAACTTTGCTTTAAGAAATTTCCTTTTATGCTTGATTACATAGAAATGTATAATTTAAAAAGATAGAAGAAAGTTGTTACGCGCACGCGTGCGAAACAATATGTTTCAAAAAATTTTTTCGAAAGAAAAAGAAAAGATTTAATCTATAATAATGACTAAAAAAAACTTATGGTTAAAAAGAATATATGATGAATATTGGAACAACCTGTATAGAAGCCTTTTGGCTGAGTTTGGCTCTTTCAAGAATTATTCAATTGAACTTCTCATCGAGAAGCAAAGAAGAAGAAACGATTTCTAAAGCTAAGTTTCGGAGAAAAACATGAGAGGCGATACTTTTTGAAGCGTCATGTATCTGCATATGTGGAAGCCGTTTGCTCGAAAGGGTCAAAGGTGACAGGGGTCTTGTGAAGGTACGAAATGCTAATAAGCTGTCTATTGTATTCGAATGCGATATTATGTCACGACCGTATTCTTTCTTCCTATGGACACACGAAAAGATTCTTAATGTGGTGGAGTAGCGATTTCTTCTTTTAAAATGAAACGAGGTGCTCCTTCTAAGTCTTTCTCCATCTTACAAGATTTATTTGAAATTATAATCCGGCCGGAAGTGTTTTATAAATGCATGGGAAACGACGAAGCTTACCTTCCTGCGCGTTCTTAATATTTATCTTTTTAATCCTAGCTAGGTATTTTGTAATAACCGTCGGGAATGAAAAGAATTCTATGAGAGAGAATAAATCGTAAACTTTTCATGGTCAATCAGCTTTATGTATAAAATATTCGGAAAGAACAAATAAAGTTACAAATAAAGTTAAATATATGCCTATGAAATTTTTGTCTATATTATAAAAATTAATAAATTTTCCAATTAATATAATCGGAAATCGGAAACTCTGTACTGTTTAATCCAAACATGTAATATTTAATTCAAATCTAATAATTCGTAAAATTTTTATAGATATTTTTTCTTTGAAAAAAAAAATACATTGATTTTTATATTATTTTCATAAAAAATAACTTTTGTTATTATTTTAAACAAAAGAAAAAAATACGTTTAATTAAACATAAAAAACAAATATATATTTTTAAATATTTAATAAAGTGGTAGTAATCTTACCATCACATTTATTTATTTATTTATTTGTTCGATGGTATTTCAGTTTATCGTTTTAGAGAAGTTTATGGAATATTTCCTGCACACATACTTCAACTTGTATTGTTTTAAAAGTTTCGAAATGGGGAAACGCGTTTGTCGTGCGGACGAAACGAATTCCTTGCCTCTTTGTGCGCACGTACGGTTACTAACAAATTATAAAAATGTCGAACTACAAATCCCAGTTGTATCATTCATTTCACGACAGGTCGTTTTGTAAGAGTTATTGATTTTCTGTTAACAGGGAAGTATCGCAAAAAATAATTTGCATACAAAAAAAAATGTAAGAAAAAAGACAGAATTCAAATAACAATAATTCACGTTTATGAATAGTAGCTGATACTTAATTGGTAGCGCTCAATTATGGAAATGTATGTATATTACACACGAGATATACAATAGAGGTGTTGCTTCATTCGCACGTGCATTTTTGTAGCATAATTTAATTACATGAAAAAATAAATATTTATATGTTTCGCTTACGCGATGATAAAACTTGACGCTATACGATGAACCGCAATTTCAATTGGTTCACTTTGCTTGCTCTGTTTTTTTCTTCACTTTACCGCATGAATTCATCCTGTTTACTCTGGGAGATATAAAAAGCAAAAGCACCAGGATGCAATGCCGATTTCCTCGTGTTCTTAATCCCGGATATTATAGCGTAAGCATGCAGCAATGCTGCAGAAAGCTTTTGTATATAGAATTATATAGATTAAGGATTTTAATGAACTGAGTTCTTTTCAAGAATATTTTATCGAAATGAGAAAAGAGTTAAATAAAATTAATATCAAGTTATAAAAAAAAAAAGAGTATAAAATTAATATTAAAAATATTCTTTCCCGATTATAAGATTGAAAATGAAGTCTTTAAGTACTTAAATTAATCTTCAATAACTGCAACTAAAGCGAAATTTAATACTTTAAGAATTTTTTAATGTTTTAAGAAACACTTCGAATTTGAAGACTGGTTTCGTTACTGCGCTCTTCAGTTAATAAATGGTCCGCGTTTGCTTCATTCGATCAGCACTCGGCTCGATCGGACTCTTGCAAGCCGTGCGAGCGGATTAGACAGTACGACCCCGACGATGCGATTACAAATGTAAATGCACTGCTACGACCAGACGTTCCACTCCCACGTCGGCTTGACCCTATCTTTGTTCATCGAGTCGACGGCGATCTGCCTGCGTTATCACGATATATGCAACCATCGGCCATCGCCGATCGGATCGTGGCCAGGTCGCTCCAGCTACTTTTGAGAATTAATGCAATTAATGCGCCGACTTGCCGTCCGGATATTAGCTCGATCCAGGATCTCCCGGCCAGAGTATGTAAATTAGCCACAGGACACGTAAAACATCGTGTGAACATTGGAACTCTGCTGACCCGAAAGTTACGTACGACCGAGTAAATATGCACTGAGAGAAGTGTTCAGTATTTGTGATTATAATTGCAATTGGAAGAATAATTATGATTAGGAATTTCATTTTTACAATTATTATTGCTATAATATTAATAATATTATATTTATAATTTTATATATATATATATATAAAAATGTATAATAACACCGAAAACAATTATAATTTATAATCGTTCTGCTATAATTATTATTACTAACATAAAAATAAAGCTCTAAATAAAGCTCCTAAATAATTATGGATAGATTATTTTATTATGCAATTTTAAGTACCAAACACACCTTTCTTTCATTGTGAAGCCCAAAACATGTAAAATCAGGCTATGTTCAGAAACTTTACGAGTGTTCTCATGTATTATTTTATCTTTATTTAACATTCGTGAACAATAAGGATAAAATAATATATGATGTACTCGAATGAAGTTTCTGAACGCAGTCTTAAGGGAATCTTCGTAAATTGTCGGCATGACATATAGCTTCTTTAATGAATTTTTATGCAGAGATAAATTTTTCACATACTTGCAGAGTTTCCATCTTGATAACTGATCCCTTGTTCCTTTGGTCTTTTAATCTCCATAGGACGTTACTGGAAATAACACTGGAAGAAGAAATAACAAAATTAAGAAAATATCAAGAGCTATTCACTCTGGATAGAATATATAACGCGAAATTCTATTTTGTAATCGAACATTTTTCGTATAGCAAATCTTAAAATCTTTTCATCAGCAGAACATCATAGGATTAAGTTAGAAATATCGAGGAGACAATATAAATCGATTGATGTGGAAGATCTGGGTCGTCATAAAGTGCCTCTGAATGAAAACTATGTCAAGCCATTACATAATTTTTATTTATACTGTTCGTTGTGGTGCAACAGAGATATCCTCATTGAAAATGCAATTAACGATACTGCGGCGTAAGCAGTACTGCTAATGGCAGTAATACTAGTAGTAGCGCAAAGTCAAAAGAAGTGCTTCGCCTCACTACGGAAAGAATTAACTGGCAAGCTGCAGTTAACGTTCCGGCGTGGTACTTAAGAATAATACTGGCTTCGCGCAGAGAGTAGTCCGCGCGCAGGAAAACGCGAAATCACTTACGTAAGAACGGCTTAATTAAAATTGATAAATAGTCGGCACCACCAACGCAGGCAACTTCGTTATAGCGGCAAAGTTTCCTTTAATTTTACCAATTAATACGTGATTCGTGTGCTACCGCCTAACTATCACAATCGAGATATATATTTGGCGACTCTCGAGAAACTCATAAATCCTTGTCGGATGTGATAATTGAAGGATAATTAGTTCGTTTTCTTGTCGACGGCTTTTGTCTATATACACTCGGAAAAAAAAGTGGCAGCAATTATGAAGGTGACAACTAGGTACAAGGTTTATATTTAAGGTAACCAGATCTTATATGACATGCTTTGTGATTTTTTTCCAATTTTTTGCCGAGTCCAAAATTGAAAATTGATGGAGATTCAGATTAAAAAAGAAAACATTTCTGCACATTTTTAAATATTTACATGAGTGCAGTGAAGATTTTAAGAAAAAATAACATTTAGATCATATTGTGTATATATATATATATATTCTTCCTTTTTTCATTAAAAATATTAGAAAAATGGAAAATAAAGTGATTCAACATGATTGTTGTATTATTTTATATTATTTATTTTATAATTTTATAAAATGATAAGTTTATTAACATATTGACATATTTATTGACGTATATATACAGAACTATTTTCCAAACAATTGACTTATCTATTTATTTACTTATCTTCACGATATTTAATAATTTAAAGATGAATTAGAATCGATGGAAATAACAAAAGTATAAAAAAACGTTACAATCGATTACTATACTCAATATGCCTAGGGGTTGATCAATATATTGATTCTATCTCACAAAGAGTTTCCTTTTTCCAGTTATAAACAAAACGTGATGAAAACATAAAAATATAAACTGACTATAGCAATGTAAAGTAGAAGTACAGAGCTACAATAATATAAACTACGAAAACTAATAATTATCTCTTAGTAGTTGCAGAAAGCAATTACTTATCTATGAAATGTTACATCACGACCATGACGTTCTGCATTTTGCTTTACTGACAATAACAGAATGAACTATTTGAGCAATAAACTGATGCAATCGAGTCAGATGGACAGCCTGCACATGACTTACTAATGCTATCTGTTAAATTCACCATGTAATTACCCACAAACAGTGAATAGGTCATATTAGGTTCTAAACCATATAGAGTCCGGTTACCTTAGAATTAATATGCAATACATAGCTGAATAAACTATTTTATAGATATTGCAACTATAAAATAGTTTATACAACACACTATACTTAATTCTACATAAAAAGCTTGTATACCACTGTTTATCTCTAAGTGTATCAATCGCGCGCGCGAGCACAGTATATTATATTAATAATCTGATATTTGATAGCATTGTTGACGTCGGAATGTACATCGATTGTTACAAAATGAAGTGGAAATTCTAGTCCCGTTGGTGACCGTCCCTTTATCGTTCGTGGTCGAAAGTGCATCGTGAAAATTTCCGATGGACCGAAACTTTTCCCGAGGAGTTTGCTGAGAAGAGAGAACGCTGTGACTCCGATGGCGTCAAATAATCTCATTAACCAAAGTGTATCTGATCGTTTAAAGTCGACCAATGGTTTCGCTATCGCCAGAATGGTTCTGTTTACTCCCTTCCCGCCCTCTCTTCTCGCTCTCGTCGCTTTGCATACTCGAATGGACCCGGGAGTGTTCCCGAATCCATTAACGGACGGTTCGGGTCAAGTTTACTTAAGACCACGGCGCCGCCGTGAATCTGCCAAGAAAGCAAAAAGCTTTATTAGACAGTGACAAAGTGAGAACGAGGCGGTTTGCACGGCGGAATCATAATGAGGAACGAAGGAAAGTCAGGTTTCGATGAAAAATCGCCTCACATCGCTTTGAGAATAGCTGAACACAGAACCCAGGGAGATCGTCTTCCTTAATAAACTCGCGGTCGATCTTCCCGGCAAGAATATAAACGGCTTAAACTTCTCCACATTAGATACTACAGAATTGTCGCGAGTTGGGTTTGAAGAGCGTTCAATTGAAGTTTTCGAGTGCGGTTACTCTGTTTGCACGGACTATATACGGACTTATAATTCTATATTTTCACGTGAATATGATAACATCGTGTACGTGCGACAACGTGTACTACATGGATGCGGACGCGAAATAAGTGGCTGTTAAATGTGGTAAGCTTACTGTGAGCTCGTCGGGAAATTTAGTTTTGAGATATCTGCTATTCTACGATGCAGTTTACCCGAGACTCAGGTATTATGTGAGAAAGATCCCGGCAAACCGTCACTACGAGTACCTTAACTCGCGACATCGATATACGGGACGGCTAACGAGGCATTTCAAAGCGCGATTGTCTACATCAAAGTTGCATGATAAGGATCAAAGTTCTATCGAGAATATCTCCTATCGTTGTTGTCGCAGCGACTCTCATTCTCCACAGAGACTCATACAAAATTACTCGGCATTGTCCTTCTCTTTCCCGAGGCAATGGCTGGTAATTATTATATACCTTCACGTTATACTTACGCAACATCTCGAAAATGGAAATCTCCCACGTCTATTTGTCGCATTTGTGTAGAGAAATAAAAATAAATCCAATTAATGATTTTATATTACGATTTCAATTAATCTTTTAATATATAAGCTCTCTTATAAATATTATATATAAATATATCGTATTAATTGAAGGAGTCTCTTTTTATAAATTTCATGATAAGCGAAAGAAATAGTTTCAACACCCAATAAAAAAATTTATTTGATTTAAAGAAATTATGTTCAAATCGAAGAAATTTTGTCTTTAATTAGTAGAATAAGGAAACATTTCTTGAAATCGAAGAAACCTTTCTCTGGGTGAATGCATATTCTTGATTTTCGCGTTGTATTTTCTCTGTTTTTTGTAATATAAATGTAAATCTGTGAGCTACGAGTTGTTTACTGATAAACTTTTATCCGACGATTTTTTTTGCATTTTTTTTCTCGAAAATTTTTCCCGTGTCTTAGTAAACTATGTGACAGCATTTTCGCAGATCCTTAGTCATCAAGGATCACCGATCATGCGACAACCGCCATGGTAAAGTCAATGTTTTCGGAACGGATGGACATGAAGATGGAGTAGCCACGACAGACGAAGATGGAAACGTAGACAGAGACGGAAGTGGTTACCATGACGACCATCGAGAGGAAAGAGAGCGGATTGCGGCGAACAGGAGGTTGAAGCGAAAGAGCAAAAGAGAGAAAAAGCGACGAGGGGTGAATGAAAAGCTACGATACATGGGGTGAACCGAGAGAAAGAGAAAGAAAAAAAGACCCATAGAGAACGAAAGAGAAGTTACGATCTAAGGGATGCAAAGCAAGAGAATGGAGAATACTGGGAGAAAAGGGAGATAGGACTCAGGAGAAAATAAATGAGAAGATACGACTTGGAGTAAGCAAGAAGGAAGACTGAAAAAAAGAAAGAGAAAAACAGCAAGAGTCGGCAAGACAACTACACGATGATAGTAAGGCAGGTTTATGAGTGTCAAAAGGGATGGTGTGGGTAAAAGTAGGCATATTACGGTAGCGTAACAAGAGAGAGTCTGAATCACGAGAAAATACGAGTAAAAAAATGCAAGAGAAAAATGCTATTCAGACAGGTTTTTTTTTTTACTATTCAAAGTCGTCAGCTACAAATGTTAACAGCACAATCACATTCCTAGTATTCAGTCCCCTCAGGTGTTGACCTTCTTTTATTAATATATTTCATCTTGCAAACGCACCGTTGGATTTCCCGAAAACTAAAGTAATTAAAATTCAATTACCGGTTTCTTATTGCCTAAATTTTAAGAGCAAGAAGAGAGAGATTGCTCATTTTAACCGCTTTCAGCAAAATATGTAGACCAACTTCGCCAAGATGGATAGAGATAAATATATACGAGATGGAGTAAGACGACCGTCGAAAAACGGGGCACAGGGAGAAACACCATGAAAGGATGAAGGACGGAGAAACGGCTGACTGGGAAAACTATTACTCTCTCTCCCGATCCTCCCCCGTCGTCTTTACCTCCCTCGTCCCAGGTCGGTAGAGGGTTTGAGTCTCGAGTGATGTTAATTGCACTGCTACCGCCAGCAGGCAATATGTATTCGAGGAACGCTCGGAACGTTCGAACGAAGACGACTCGTAAATGCCACATATTTGCACCACCTTTCTCCCTCCCATCTGGAGAAAAGTAATGCTTCCGCGACGAGCATCGCGACCAAAGTGGATGAAACTTCTGCGATGCGCGATGGCAATATCGCGCGACGATAGATGCACCGCGTGGCCAACGAGGGTAGTTTCGAGGTGGGTAGTTGGCGCCATTTGTATGGTAATTTTTCGCGCCTATACTCTGCCTAATTTACGCCGCTTCGTCGCGAATATCGGTTCTGTGACGCGCGAGAAGTTACGAACGATGCGAAAATGATACACCGATAGCTCCAGCGATAGCTCGGAGGTGAAAATGTTGATTTTGTTGTTCGCCGTTGTGTATCGATAT